AAAGTGAGTTTGTGATGGTGGATGGGCTAATCTATCTTGATAAGGCTGGAGTAAAGAGATTGGTAGTTCCATCTAGTGAACAGTTGCGTAGTTTATTTCTAGGCGAATGTCATGACGCAACTGGGCACTTTGGCTATAAGAAGACGAGTGCTAACTTAGTACAACGTTTTTGGTGGCCCAGAATGTTAGATGACGCAAAGAAGTATGTTGAGACCTGTCAGGTCTGTCAGCGGGACAAGCCGCGAACTCAAGCACCGCTTGGGTTATTGAAGCCTTTACCTATTACTGATGGTCCATGATTGAGTGTTTCCATGGATTTCATGGACACTCTTGTGACCAGCAAGAGTGGTAAGAGGCACATTTTCGTCATCATTGACCGATTCACCAAGTACGCTAGACTAATACCAATGCCAGAGACAGCCAGGACATAATACGTCATCAAGTTGTTCAAGGACAACTGGGTAAGGGACTTTGGGACTTTGGTTTACCAAAGACCATCATTAGTGACCGAGACGTCCGATTCACAAGTGAGTTGTGGAAGAAGACTGCGGAACAGATGGGCAGTCAACTTCAAATGACTTCAGGGAATCATCCCGAAGCCAACGGACAGGCCGAACAAATGAATAGAGTTGTACAGCACTTGCTGAGGCATTACATCAAGCCCAGCCAGGACGACTGGGATGAGCAGTTACCTCTCATCGCCAGCCTGTACAACAATGCTATACATAGCAGTACCGGCGTTAGTCCTAACCAGTCGCACTTAGGATGGAAGCCTAGATCAGCATTAGACTTCCTCCTACCTGAAAACCGACCTGCTGCAACTCCAGGCACACTTGAATACGGTGTGCAATATGAGAAATTGCTGCAAGATGTTGTTGAACATATGAAGAAGGCTCAACAAACCATGATCGCTTATGAGAATCAACATTGCAGACAGTCCACAGGTAGGGGAACGTGTCTGGGTCAAGGCTAGTGAGTTAGGACAGGAATTCGAAATATCTCGCAAACTAATGCCTCAGTACTTTGGTCCCTGGGAAGTCTTGGATGTAGTGGGAGATGAAATGGATGGTCCTACGTATGTCATTCGTGTCCCTGGACACCTACACACTCACCCAGTCTTTCATGCCTCAAAGCTTGCACCTTTCGCTGAGACTGATCAATTCCCTTCCAGGAGATCGATGCTGCCCCCAACCATGGATGGACAAGTCGACATCGACGATATTGTGGATCACAGGGACATGCCTGTTCCGAAGCCGCTGGGTCGAGGAAGACCTCCTAAACCCAAGAGGGAGTACCGGATCAGATTCAGGCATCATACGGATCCAAAAGAAGATCGGTGGTTTACCCGGGAGGAACTGATGGAAACAGCTCCTCAGGTGGTGGCAGATTATGAACGGAAGCTAAAAGGGAACGCACCTGCGAAGTAAGCATCTCAGCGGACTTTCGAAGCTAAGGGGGATGGAATGTGAGGATTGAGCCCTCAAGTAGGGGCCTTGCCATGATGTACATGTTCTGGGCTAAGGCCCCAGCAAGCCTCGTGCCCGCCCTAAGTGAAGGCGGGCCAGCAAATCAACAAGAGCCCTCTGTGCCAACATTTCACGAAGTGGGGTTCATACAGTTGCAGCACGCCAGTTGGTTGGTGTGCWCCGAGTCTCRGATTTCAGCAAATGCTGAAAGCCCAGGGCCTCTGAGTTAGTTAGGCCCTGGGCACTCGAACRTGAGGCYGACAATGYATGCTSGGTAGAGAGGYCGAAAATGCCAAAGGGAAATCGGCCCACTATCTGAATCTGGCCACAGGCCTTGATGAAAGAGGCGCAACTGCATTGCCCCGGGGCCCAAYTGTATYGAGTTGGCTTCAGCCTCTGGGTCCCGGTCACAGGCTGAAGGGAGGCTGCCCACATGCTGCATTGGCATATAGGCAAGCAGGGCGAGGCAGCAGTATCTTGGCCAATGCTGGCACTTGCGGGCACGCTGCGCGGATGCATGTGTGCTGCGCTGTGCGAAGCAGCGCTGCGCTAAGAGCAAGCAGGCCAGTGCTAGGCGGTAGGGCGCTGCCTGCATGCAAGGCACTGGCGGCCATAGCCGGGCCGCATGAGGGTGTAGGAGAGGTGAAGGGCGAAGGTGGTCTTTGGAGGTGAAGGGCGCTGTGTGGGTAACAAGGGAGAGTGTGGGGAAGAGGACACGTACCTGGGGGAGGTGGAGGTCGGCATTGGTGTTGACATCGTCACTCGCTGGTAGTCAAGTTGTCTGGTTGTTGTTCATTGTTGTAGTTGTAGGATAGGCTGTAGAGTAGATAGGGCGCCTGGCGCCATTCACAAGAGAGAGCTGCATTTGGGTTATGCTGTTGGTGTTGCCCTGTTGGGCATGGACATTGACTCACGATTCTTCTGTATCATTCTGAATTGGATGGTTGCTCGGTTCCATGTGCTATCTGCTTTGGTTTTGACTACTTGAACTTCAGTGTGATTTTGCATTCTGGATTTCTGTGCTTCTATACTCATGTTCCTTGCACTATATTGATGCAGAAAAATAAATTGAACAAATTTTGCCTCAGGGTCACATCGAAATTCTTTACCAAATTTATTTTATTTATTTATTTATTCATTTATTTATTTTGGTCCGGCTGGGCAAGTTTTCCTGGGCCACTCTGGTAGTCAGTTAGTGGCTCCTTATCTGGGCAATTTATTCCACCCGCCCCTGCCCACCTATGTTGTTGCCCCCGCTGGTCTTATCTTCTCTATTTGTCTTCGGGTACCCCCTGCGGCGGCATTGGTAAGTTGCCAGGTCAACAAGCCACGTTAGCAGACCACGTCAGCAGGCCACGTCAGCAGACCATGTCAGCAGGACACGTCAATCGATAGCAGTGCCACATCAGCAGCAGGGAGTGCCATGTCAGCAGTCCTCTGACCTGGTCGATGCTCGCATGCTTACAAACAACCGACATGGATGAGAAGTCTGGGGAAACGGCCGAGGCCTATCAGGCCCGGATGAAGGCTTTGTTTATCGAAGTCATGAAACGGGCGGTTGAGAAAGCAGCCGCAGAGAAGAAGAAGGCAAAGGACGCTGAGGTGGCACGTCTGTTGGCAATCGAAAAGCAGCGCCAGCAAGACGAGGCAGCAACAAAGGTTGGCGATGAAGAATGAAATCATCGAGGCGAGAAGATATACAACGGAGAGCGAGCTTTGCTCACAATGGCAGCGGACTTGCGAGCCGAGGCCGAGAATGGTAAGATGGAAGAGAGTGAAAGCAAGATCGCTCTACTCCTCCACCATTTCATGGATCTCCTGGCAACGTGCATTGCACAGCAGGAGGACATCCACAACCTCGACGATGCGGATCAGACGCACAACCAGGCGTTAGCTCAACTTAACAGCCGCCTCCAGCAGGTGGAGCAACGACCCGTCGCCGCCCTCGATGCCAACTCCTCCAACACCTCCGATCGCCTCAATGCATTGGAGATTGACGCCGGAGCCCTCAAGGACGACACGCAGCCACAACAAACGACCACGCAACAATTGGAACAATGGATCTGTGTTGCCGCCACCAACCCGAGCTCAGCACCGCGCGAGACGTCTCCAAGGTTCGATGATCAGGAGATCTTCTGCGATTCGACGAAGACGGACTCGATTCCGTGGTTCCGCAAGTTCGAGCTCAAGTTGCAACTACACCACATCAGCGAGGACAAGCATCACGTGTACTTACTCTCCCGGTCGGGAGGCGCGTTCCAAGCATGGTTGGACAATCTCTTGTCCAAGTACGGGGCGGTAGCTGCCAACTTATACACCAAGATCAACTGTGATAATCTAAAGGCGGCGTGACATAAGCGGTTCCAAGTAGAGCCGCCAGAGATCGAGGCAATGGACAAATTGATGACCTTCGAACAACGCTTGCTGTCGAGTGTTGACTGGATTGTCGAGTACCAACGCTTACATCCGTCCCAGACATTCAAATGGGCTTCAAGGCCGTCAAACACTACTTCATCTCGAGGTCGTGTCCGACGTTGGGCAACACCTTGACTCACATCGAGGACACCCTGACGACAATGGCAAAGCTCTTCGACGAGGCCGCGCAGATCATTGTCATGAACAAGGAGGCCAAGAACCTCCACCGTTCGTATGCGACAGGCCCAAGTAGAGATCAACATCGGCCGAAAGTGGTCCTGGTCGCGGCGGCAATGCCCACCGACCCTTCTAGCGAGGCCGTGTCTGCCAATGAAGGGGACAGACTCGCAGCCGCCCGGGATGGTGGCTGCCACGGCAAAGGCCGAGGGTGCGGCAAGAGGAAGACAAACACCGCATCTATCCCCGGGCCCGGCGCAGCAGCCCCAACCCCATGGTCCCACTACGGTCTCTCTGAACGTGTGTACAAGCTACGCACGAGATTCCGCTATTGTCTGCGGTGTAACGGCGATCTCCACGACAAAGTGGGCTGCCCGTCGAAAGGCAAGGGGAAATTGGGAAATTGATCACTGCCAGGAGTGAATCGACGACACTCTCGACGCCTTCGGAACCGGTCACTTCGCGAGTGACCGCCCTTCGTTCCAAGGCATATGCGGAAGTCGATAGTCCTCTTCTATATTCTTATGACTATGCTGGCCGACTTGTTCCTACGCTGGGTACTCATGCTCAAGGACAAGACGTGTGTGCGGCATCTTCCCTGTCCGGCAGCGACAAGTTATCGTCTTCAAGTGGTTCTTCATGGGATTCAGCGCGTGAGTTCAACATAGAGGTATTGGACGTGCTCACGTCCGAGGATTTCGCATGGCTTCCTCTCCCGACCACGGGCCGTTTGCTGGGACCGCAATGCGCAACATTATGCGCTCATGTTCACACGTATCGATCCTTCTATGCACCACCAACTTCGTCGACGGAGGATGAAGCTGCAGTAGGGGACATCCTTGCGTATGTTACCAAGATGGCCCGCGAGTTTCGCAACCAGCGGACTTTTACCGTCCGGGACGCCTTGGGCCTCGAAGTGCCGTGTGCTATTCCTCTTCCACACCCTTCGATCCAGTGCCAAGTGCTGACAGCCAAGTCATCCCAGGTTACTTGCGCTTACGAGCAGCCCGGCGAGATAGGCCTATCCTACGGACCGTCGCGGTAGCCGACTCTTCACCCACGGACTTGTCTTCGGACCCCCGTGTGGTGCGGTTGCTTGACGAGCTCACCGACATCTTCGAGTCACCTACCGGTGTGGTGCTCGATCGGCCAATCTCTCACGGGGTCATTCTTGAGGCCGATGCTGTGCCGGCGGAAGGTTGCATTTTTATCGCATGAGCGAGGAGGGGCTTACGGTCCTCCGCGCCCAACTTGATGACTTGATGGACAAGGGCTGGATCCGCCCTATTAGCTCCCATATGGAACGCCTGTTCTCTTCGTACGGAAGAAGAACAAGGATCTACAATTGTGCATTGACTTCGCGAGCGCTTTTGGTGGCCTGACCTTCTCGGCGACGTCACACGCTATTGCGAGTCATGCGAGGTTTGCCGACGCTGCAAATCCCGCAACCATCGTCCGTACGGCGAGTTGCGACCATTATCAGTCCCCTTGTGCCAGAGGGAAGGGATTACCATGAACATTACCGGGCCGTTCCCCAAGCACAAGACTGGTGTGGATGGGATTCTTACGGTGGTCGACCGACTCACCAAGTTCGCCATGTTTTTGCCTTGCCGCTATCATGCCAAGTCACCGGAGTTGGCCAAGGTTCTTTACGCCGGTTGGATTGGAACCAAGGGTTACCCCAAGGAAATCGTCTGCAACCGCGACACTCGGTTCATGTTCAATTTTTGGTTGGCACTCATCAAATGATGGGGCTCATCTCTCAAGCCAAGTTCGGCTTGCCTACTTGGTACACTTTGCATACTGCACCCACAAACGAATGCAAGATGCAAGGCAAGCTGGTATCTTCGGCTCCACGTCTTACCCGCGTCCAGGTTCCACCTTCAGATCGTCAGCTTTGCTCTCGACCCGGCTTGACTTCATAAGAAGGGGAAGGTGTTACATGCTGCGCCTGCAACAGGCTGCACGGGCCATTTTGAGGCCCGTGTTGTTTTCAGCCTGAAAGCCTGAAGCAAGGGCCTACAAGCCGTGTCTTGTTTCAGCCTGAAAGCCTGAAAACAAGGGCCTACAGGCCCTGTGTCGTTTCAGCCTAAAACAGGGCCCTCCAGGCCCTGAGTTTTTTCAGCCTGAAACGGAGGGCCATTTTCAGGCCCTCGTAAGATCGACCTGCCCTGAAACTTTAGCACCAGACCAGGGTTTTAGCACAGGCCATTTTGGGCCTGTTTTCAAGACAACCTTTGGTTGAGCTTCAACGCCAGCGTCTGGCACGTTTTGGCATTGGCAAGAGCAGCCTCCGGGACGGGCCAGCACTATATAGGACTGGCTCGCCCTGCAGGCTGCAGGTAGTTCATAGGGATTTCCCAGGCACTTCACGTGCAGTTCAGGAGGCAGGAGGTAGTCTTCAGGATTTGGCAGCAGCACTCTGGAGGAGCGCTGCAGTAGTAGTAGTAGCGTTAGCAGTAGTCTTCAGCGCTGGGCGCTAGTAGGAGCTAGAGTAGTACTGGAGAGAGAGAGAGATTGGGCGGAGGCCAGGGAGACTACCAGCGGCACCATAGCTCGAGCTTCGTCTTCGAGGTACCTGCAGCACAGCGCCATCTTCACAGGTTAGTCCCTGGCACATGGGAGAGAAATAGTTCTTGGCGCTAGTAGGAGCTAGAGTAGTACTGGAGAGAGAGAGAGATTGGGCGGAGGCCAGGGAGACTTACCTGCAGCACCATAGCTCGAGCTTCGTCTTCGAGGTACCTGCAGCAGAGCGCCATCTTCACAGGTTAGTCCCTGGCACATGGGAGAGAAATAGTTCTTCTTCCTCTTCTCAGTCCACCATCTCCCTCTCACCCTCTCACTACCTGACTTCACTGCATCAGCAGACTACGAGAGATCGGGATTGGTGACATTTGGATCCAGACTCGACATTGGCCTTCAGACATTTTGACGACGGATTATTTGGGACTCGTAACGAAGACTTGGTGTTGACGACATTCCCATCTCCCCCCCCTCTTCTTCGTCTGATTCCCTCCTCTTCGTCTGTGCATGATCTGGACCTGGCGCATGCTTCCTGTGTGTAGCGCCAGGCCCCTTCACACCTTGTGACGAGGATGATGTATGTTCGGTCTGCGTTGCGACATTGATTGGGCTAGTCATTGGTATTCTAACATTCTGCTGTGCTGTCTTGTACTACGTGATAGAGGTCAGTCCCGGGCAGGTCAGGACTTATATCTAAGTCTTCCACTGCGCTACAAAGCACCATTTTTGTATGTATCATTGTATCAGGATGTACACTGCTTGTTGAGATTCCACTAGCACTGCGTTGTCAATTCACTCGTTTTCATCACATTGCGGATCCTTGGCTTCACATGCATTGCCCAACTGGGCATGTAACAGACGGTCTATCCACTATATGTCAGCCATCCCCCTCATGAAAGGCTTGTCAGGGAATGAAGGTGGACTTGTTTGAGTGAGAGGGATTTGCAGTCTAGAAACACCTGTCTGTGATTTTCTCGGCAGAGTCAAGTCTGAGTCACCGTTTAGAATTAGGCCGCACTGGTGGAATTCCGTCCCAGCCTAGAATGCACCAAAAGCTCTGTCTGGAGGCAGGTCAAGGGAAATGAGCACACATTTTTGAGTTGTCCGGCTGTGAACAATCCCGGTTGGCTGTTAGAATGCGAAGCTGCCTAAACTTTGTCCCTTGTTCATAGGGGCTCTGAGTGGTTACCATGGCTGACCTTTCAGATTCTCAATCCAAGGGTTGCTGTGTTTAGAAGGTGCTCGAGCTGTTGTGAGTTTATGGTTTAGACATGTTGTTAGTGTGGCTGTTTGCTGTGCTTACAAGGTCCATGAATTGTGAGGCTATGGTTGGACGTGTTGTTAGTGCAGTGGTTTCCTGCTGTGGTAAGCAAAACCTCCAAGACGGGTTGTGCCATCCTCCTCCATCAAACATAATGAGATGACCCAAATGACACTTCTGCCTTCTGCCTTGCAGGCCAGTGGGTACTCGGTGAGTTGTAGGGCCCCGGATTCCAGTCGCAGTGCTTTGACACGCCATGTTGGCTTGGCCCCATGGCGCAGGGCATTTTGGGCGGAATCTGTCCAGGGGGAGAATTTGATGGCGTTGGTACTTGGTGAGGCCCATACTGGTGTGGCTCCATGTCATGCGGCATGATGTGGAGAACCTTTGCAGGGAGAGTTGCGACTGTTAAATTCCGGATGCTACTGTTGCTACTGTTGAATTTCGGATGACACAGGTGGAGATAGCTATGCTTTGCCGAGGCCTTCCGCAATACATAGTACAAGGGGATTGGTGGGACAGGGCCTGATGTGTGTCGTGTTCATGTGGTAAGGACATGTACTCGAGGAATTGATGGTAGATAGTAGATGGTAGATGGTAGTTATGATATGCAATAAGGACTCTGGAAGATATCATGAGGAAGAAATTAGGGTTGCATTTTGCTGGTATAGTCCAGCTGTCAGTTTGACGCAAGCCAAGTCAATGTGATATGATCAGAGTGTGTGGAGCCACTCTGATTGCAATGCTGGTGTCTGAGCAATGGCAGTGATTCTGAAAAACGCAGTGCTATGCAGATGCAGCTTGCCAGTGGGCACGTCTGAGCATTGACATGCGACTTGGCTTTTTGAGCTTATATAAAGGTTGAACTTTGTGGATTTGACATCGGTGTGCTTCGCACCGTCCCGCACGGGCTCCTATTGGATGAAGTCCAGGGATACGCCCTAGGGATGGTAGTGGATTGCATGCAAGTATGAGCTGCTGTTCCAGACCGTATGAAATGGAGGGAGTGTGATCTATCTTTGATGTGGCACTTTGACACAGGCGTCTGACTGCAAGGCTCTGTTGTTTTTGCTGGTCTGCAGATTCTACATTGGTATGTGCCATGAAAGGTCAGCTAAGCATGACGTGGCCGGCCTGTGTGATTGAGGCAGGAGTTGCGGGATGTGTGTGGGCAAACCTCACCACGCCTGGCTCGTCTGGCTCTAGGGGCAGTGCTGCCCTGCAGTGCTCTGCGCTCTATTGCAGTAAAGGGAGATCGATCAATGTCCATGGCAGTGGTTCAAGCGCACCTCTGTTTTTTGCCGAGGGAAGCTGCGGGAGTGGATTCCTCATCTCTCTCAACTTAAGAGGCGGCGATAGGTTCTCTTCTAAGCTTAGAGGTATGTACGTATTCTCATCGCCCGAGTCTGTACACACTACAGGTCTGTTTTCCTCTTTGAAGCTCAGGCATGGTGGACGCTCTGCTCTCAGAGTCTACCCCAAGAGGGAGGTTGCTTTCTCAACTGAAGAAAGCCTTCCATTTGCTCAGGCCCAGACCCCTATCTTGTTTGTCAGGAAGTTGAAACTTGCATGCTGTTCAAGTAGTGATTCTAATCACTGGGCAGCGCAGGGTGGGAGTGCGGAGTGTGGTACTGAGTCTGGGTCACCAGAGGGGACTGGTGACGACTTTCTTTCAAAAGATGTTTATGGTCAGACTGGCCATAAGACGGGAGAGACTGAGGAAGGTGGGAAGAAGAAACCAGATGCATCTGTAGAAAGTCCTTGTTCCTCTGCAGCGGAGGCAAGCACAGTGGGTGTTTGCGACAGAAATCTTTCCATCCGTGCAACAGGGGAAGGCACTGCTGTTGGTGGACAAGCAAGTGAAGCAGACGTTGGTTGCAGTGCACAGTTGGTAAGAGAAGCAAGCGTGATGACCTTATTGAGTGAAAGTAGAAAGATGAGAAGTGAGATAACAGTTGTCATGCTGGCAGAAGTTAAAAAGCTGCCTTTGGTGCAGGTTGCTGCTGTGTGCCTAAAAAGACTGCACAGTTGTGTCTCAGTTTGTTGGTGCCTGCGCTTGAGTCTGCTGGATTGGTATCTTCTGTCCGAGATGCTGCTTCCGTTTCTGTCAGCATTAGCCATCTGTGTTGTACTGGGTCTGTCTTTGGGAGCTTTGGGTGAGCTCGTTCAGGAAGTTATATCAGGTTTGCCAGTAGGTGCAGCTTTGGCTGCTGCTCTATTTCAAGGGCCCAGGTTTCTTGCACAGGCATTGCCAGCTGCAACTGCTGCCGGTGTTTTGTTTGGCCTTGGAAGGCTGAAGTCGGAGACTGAGTTGGTTCCTCTGCATGCAGCTGGGGTTGCCACGTGGCGGGTCCTTGTGGCTCCACTCGTGCTTGCATTAGCTTCGACTCTCCTCGCCTTGGCAACAAATGAGCTGCTTGTTCCACGTTGCAACAAGAGGGCGCGAGAGGTCATACGAAGCACGCTGATGGGATCTGGTATCTGTCAACTTTTGACTCAGAAGGATCTAGTTTACCGAGAGTTTGCACATAAGCTTGCCACTGATCCCTCTGCAGACCCTGTGCCTTCTGGAAGTGATGCTGCTGATGAAGACCCCAGAGGTGACAAGGCTGCTGGTCCTCGGAAGGATTTCGGTAGTCGCCCGTCAAAGTCTTCTCAAAGTGCTGCTGCTTATGAAGAGCCAGAAAATGACAAGGCTCCTGGTCTCCAGAGGGAGGTCAGTAATCGCCCGTCAATGCCCAAGCGAACTGAGTTCCTGAATCGAGTTTGGTACAGCCAGGGCTTTGAGAATGATGAGATGTCAAATACCCTTCTGCTGGAGATATCGCCTGATGGGGATCTGAAGGGAGTGGTGTCTGCTGAGGAGTGTATTTGGGACCTGAAACGAAGCACGTGCAAGATACGAGGAGGCATGGGCATTGCACTAAATGCAACGATGCCTCAGACGATGTGTGTGGAATTGATGGAGATACCGCTGTTGAATCCTTTGGATGAGCCATCAGCACTTACTACTGCAGAAGACCTTGACTTTCTAACACGTAGTGACATTCTGACCTTCATTAACAATCTTGAGGCAGAATCTAAAGCTTTAGAGTCTGCAGAAGGGCTCCAAAATTGTGGAGAGCAGATGGGGAAGGTGGAGAAGGCAATGAATGTGCAGGGGTCTGTTGATGCGCTGCTGTCAGAGGCAATGCTGCCTTGTGGCCTGCCTCAACAGCGGTGGGGGGTCCTGAGGAAAACTGCAGACTTTTTCAGCCCAAAGACAAGGGTCAAGATTGGATGTTCTCAGGAAGTGGCCAAGGCAAAATGTGTGCTGATACAGAGGGTTGCCTCTGCGCTGTCTTGTCTGGTGTATGGGCTGATAGGTGCAGTGTCGACACTAGCTGCCAACCAGCTTGGTCATAGAGCAAGTAGTCGGGCCATTCCGTTTGTTCTCTCTTTGTGTGCTCTAGCATTATACAACACCATGGTGATTGTGTTGATGTGTGCAGTCGAAGTTGGACTAGTTCACCCCACTGTTTGTGGTTGGTTGCCTTGCCTGTTTGGAATAGCCCTGGGTTGTTGTGTCTGGCTATTTGCAAGGCGATTTCAGTAGTAGTGTCGCTTTCACCGTCTCATGTGCACGTTGTATATTGCCGTTGATGAGTGTCCATGCAGCCAGCCAAAGTATGTTGTTGTGGTATCTTCGTGGCGGAGGGAGGACTAGTGTGATGTAGAAGGGTCCAACAGCATGGCACTGTGTGGGTGGATTTGCATCCAGTTTCCTTTGGCTGCATTTAACCTATCGTCGTGGTCCTGTGAGTTTGTGGCTTTTGCATAGGTTTAGGGGCATCTCTCTCACGTTGTCATATGTTTATACATAGCCACAGAACTGCCTGGTGAGCCATAGACAGACAGAAGGCAGAAAATGACAAGAAAGAAACAGGCTATGTATATACAAGAACGTGCAGTGGGAGAAGGGCATATATAGGGAGGGGATTATTTAGGGTTGAGCCTCCTGATGTAGGCACAGGGAAGGTCGTTCTCGACGTCCCTTAAAATTGGAACGATACAGAGAACAAGAAAGAAACAGGCTATGTATATACAAGGACGTGCAGTGGGAAGCGAAGGTGCAAGAAGGGCATATATAAGGAAGGGATTATATAGGGTTGAGCCTCCTGATGTGGGCACAGGGAAGGTCGTTCTCGACATCCGTTAGAATTGGAACAATACAGAGAACAAGAAAGAAACAGGCTATGTATATACAAGGACGTGCAGTGGGAAGCGAACGTGCAAGAAGGGCATATATAGGGCAGGGATTATTTAGGGTTGAGCCTCCTGATGTAGGCACAGGGAAGGTCATTCTCGACGTCCCTTAGAATTGGAACGATACAGCATGGCCCCTGCGCGAAAAGAAGAAAAAAAAGAAATGGGAGGGAAGGACAAGAACTGGTAGTCACAGAGAACTGTCTAGTGAAGGATAGGCAGAAAGGGAGAAATTAGCAGGAAACTGGGGGCTGTGACAGACTGTTTCGGCAGAGTTTTCACACAGAATTATCAGAAAGCTGAACCCTCAACAGTTCGCGTAGTCCCCTAACCGACGCCACTATACGTGATAAGCCACCTTGATGCCAGCACCCACACCAGACTGTCAGCACAAACCCCATCATAACCCAGCAAAATCCCCACCTTCACCCAAGCCGGTGTTGGCCGGCAATTTCCCCAATACCGTTACGGTGAGGTGGGGACCAACCACTGCCCTTGAGGGTACCAGCCGCAAAGAAGCAGACTAATCACTCGCCCATACCAGATACAAAGACTCTAAAGATTGCAGGTTCACAGCCCGTCGGCAACCCACGACTTTAACAGCCGGAAACTTCAGAAAGTACATGCCAGACACCACTGGGATTAGAGGCAGGGCATATGCATATCAAATTAAAACAAAAAATCAACCATACTGAAACCTTTCTTTTGCATTTTTGCTGTGCAGTTTCTTCATTCTTTTTTTTTTTTTTTTTTTTTTTAAAAAAAAACAGGGCCTTATGGTCCTGGCTCCTTCTATTCTGGGGAGCGTCAGTCCGGTTCCTATTCCACCGGCTAGTCGAAATATACATTACATCAGGAACACTCACACACGCTTCCTTCCGTCAGGCCGAAGGATCCCTGAACAGCATTGATTGCTCCACCGCGGTGGAGGATTGACTGTCAGCTAGCCCTATCCCTCTCTTTCCTCTCGGACCTGGAGTCCAGGTCTGCCAGATAGCGCCATTGTCCCTAGAAAGAGCTCATCCGTTATCCTTGCCGGTCTGTTTCATCCCCACACACCTCCCTGCCCCTTTGGAAGATCTACGATAAAACCCTAAACCCTGAACCCCTCGCCTGTGCGCCCAACCTCCAATAGTCGATCTTGGACATTGGCAGGCATTGATTTACTTCAGGCCCCCTGCGATAAAGCCTTCCTTTGTAACCCGCGTTCATGCTCCCGTATTTTCACCTACTCTAACTTGTCCTTCTCTCTCCCATGTTTCCTCTTTGTTCGTACCCCCTGGGCCCCTGAGGGGCCGCTTACATTCGATTGAGGCCTAGGATGCRAATATGCCCTCAGACGTTGCCTGCTGGTGAAAGCCTCTTTCTGGTACTGAATTGTGCCACTCCTTCCAGCATACTCGGTCCTCTCGCAATTCTGCAATCTTGCCATTTATCAGCCAATTCCTGTAGAATCTCTGCCTCTCCTTCTTTCGCTGCTCTTCGTCTTCTGTCCAAACTTGTTTGGTCTTCCGCCATCTGCAGAGGATCTCAGCTTGTATCAATGTTCTGGTTTCTATCCACACCTTCTCCCGTGGGTTAGACCGCCCCTCAATTGTCCTGCTGCATCTCTCTTTCCATATGACCCATAGGGTCACTTTCCTGATGAGTTCAAACCAGATCCTTTCTGCCTTTTGCGCCTGATCAGGGATGTTAGTCAAGAGGAGAAGTTGAATGGGTTGCTCGGGGAAGGGAGATGTRAAGAGGGAGTCCMAGAGTGATGAAGCTCTCRCCCAGTATTCAGTAGCCTCTTTACAAAGCACTAGGCAGTGAACTATATCTTCTACAGCGCCTTCGGTGCAGACTGTACATAACTCCGAGCTGTTGSGGTCTGCGGCTTTCTGCCTACTGTGTAGCCATTGGTTCACCGGTAGGGCTGCGTACGCAATCAGCCACTGCAAACTTCTAATCTTGATTGGTCTGATGCGTTTGAATTTTTCCAAGTGGATTCGTGTGATTTTGTCTGCTTCCTGCCTGACGAGGTTCCACCATCTGTTTTTGATAAATAGGGTCCGGATTTTTGGTCTTAGAGACAGTCTGTACCCAAGTTTGACTGTGTAATCCTGGATTGGAATTTTGGTCTTAATGTTGCTGGTCCTATTTGGCGTCCACGCCCATTCCACTGGATCGAACTCCAAGCTACGCCCATTCCGCTGGATCGAACTCCAAGCTACGGATTGTAGTGTCAGGTCTGAAGACTGACTTTGGCCATGCCCCTAGGACCCTTACTTTCCGGAGGAGGAAGGATTATAAGACTGACGACTCTACATCTCAGTTCAAGATAGTTGGCGCACCAGTATTGGTGAGGGAAATCGGGAAAGAGAGGAAAGTGGCCCTAGTGTGTGAGCCTTGCTCAAATGGGAGAATTGAAAGGCTCTAGAGGGGGTTACGTCTTGAATCATAAGTCCCCACTCACCCGGTCTCCACGATTCGTCTTTTATCAGGATATCTTTACATTCCTGTGGGATACAGCTAGGTATATACTGGAGATTGGTCCCTCATCTGTGGCATCCTTTCAGTCGGGAGCTGACTTCTTGTTCCGTTATCCAGCCCTTTCTATCCTCCTTCCATAAGTGGTCAACTTTCCAGATACCGTTCTTGATCCAGGACAACCACCTCTGTTCTAGGAAGAGTGGGTTGTCCGCCTCGTTTGTTATCCATTCATTCCCGAAGAGCGGTTGCCTTAGTACTTCATCCTTGGATTTGGGTCTGTTTATCTTATGGGGAAATATTTTCCTCCAGGATCGGGGTAGTGCCGGCCAGTAAGGCATGGGCGGTCGACAGTCCTCGAGTCTGTTATTCCTCGTTCGATTCCTACGTCCTGTGGTTATCACCCATTCTTTATTCATTACCCAAAACAGACCTGACATATTGTTCGGGGAGGGAACTGGGGCCACGGATCTGATACTATCCAGCACCAGATTATTGCAGGCGCTGTCCGGCTTCATTAGCAGTTTGATGATCCATTTGACTTGCAGGGCTTTCGTTTCTGTTCCGGGGTCAATAATTCCTAGGCCTCCGTTTCGTGGCCTTCTTGTAACATAGTGCCAGGCGATTTTATATATGCCCTTGTCCTTGTTGGGGTCTCCTGTCCATAGATAAAACCTAGCTCTTTGGTTCAGCTCCTTAACCGAGCTGTCCGTGACTGTCCAAATGGAGGCTATGTACCACATCATTGAACAGACCACGCGCTCGACCAATAAGGGACGTGAAGGCATTGCCCCACCTGCCGATTTTATTGATCTGTTTGGCCAGCATGGATGGGCCCATTTGGGGAGCCAGTCCTTCCTTCGTCATTAGTATGCCCAGATAGCGGGTGGGTGTGTCCGGCGTTTGCCATGTCATAGCCGCCTCGTCGCCATGGAGTGAAAAGTTTCTTCATTCTTTCCTTTGGCTTTTTTCACAGTTTCTGCTTTTGGCTCCCCATCTACTGTGCCTCTCCTGTGGGAAGGGCAAGAAAAGACTCTGGAGTTGTTCACGAGCTTTGACAAACTGGCTTGGGCTTATACGAAAAATGGATTGCTACAAGGATTTCTTAAACCACCACCACCTCCGAGCATGTTTTTGCCTAACCTGAATTTCAGTGCTGAGTTCTGCCAAGCCTGGGTCCCAGAAGTATTTTCTTTTCTACTCTCACGAAAACTGATTGCGATAATTTGCAAAATACCCCCGTAAGTTGAGATGTATGCCAAAACGCCCCTGGAAGATGTGGGTACAGCGGATTGCCCCTCTGACGAACAAGAATTTTTGTGAAATACCCCTGGCATCGCATCTTTGCCATATACACCTATTGGGTGCTGTCCAACTTTGCAAATTGCCCCAGTACTTGCCATCTTTTCCTAGGCATGATTGCAAAAGGGCAAGGGCCAAAAGGGGAGGTCCAGATTGCAAATTTGCAACCTTCCTGACTGGGGCATAACACAAAGATTTCGGTGCAAAAGGGCGATCCGCTCTACCCACATCTTTCAGGGGCAATTTGGCATGTATCTCAACTTTATGGGGGTAGTTTGCAAATTATCCCATAGGTAATATGAAGTGAGTGTGTGGCAACTGTATACGATGTGATACTGCTTAGTGTAGAAGGAAAGCAAAACGTTTGGAATTGTGATTTTTCTTCAGCTGCTTCCACGATGAGCATATCCGTTCGCTTGGAATCTGAAGATGGCAAAACGAAACTGCCTGAAAAGTTGTAGATCACTCCTAAGCATATACCAGTGTATTGAGCAAGAAAGAGAAAAAAGGTTCAACATGAGGGAACAAAATACCCTGTAGCACACAACTACGTACTGAGCAAGAAAGAGAAAACGAAGTATGGAATGAAAATAACACAGAAAGATAACGCCTGA